TTTTTGAAGCAACTTTTAAGAGGTCTGCTTCTTGTTGCTGAAAACGGCATGGAACTCTGGGCAGTGGTGATTGCTGAAAAGTCGAAACCGTCTCATAGTTCAAGTTATACAACTTATTAACAAGCTATGCAAAAAAGTTCAACAAAGTATAAAGTTATACAACAAGTTATACAACTTGAACTATGAGACGGTTTCGACTTTTCAGCAATCACCACTGCCCAGAGTTCCATGCCGTTTTCAGCAACAAGAAGCAGACCTCTTAAAAGTTGCTTCAAAAATGTGTGCACATTGGCTTACAGGTTTCCCAACCAAGCGCGATTTCCGACAACAGTGCGATTTGAATAAAGCATGGACTTTCCTGTTGATGAACACCAAAAACTAGAAACCCCCGAGTTGCTTGAAAGACTGAAGAACATCCTTCGAACCTATATCCAAATCTAGACAACATAACGTCTCAGCGACACCAGACCGATTCTTTGAAATGGAGCAAGCAGCGAACAATCGTGGTGGTTATATTGAGGGTCTATACTAAGTGGGTTGGTAAGGGATGTGCGTCATCGGGTTATGTGCCCTCGTGCCGTTCATTACACAGTCCCGTTTATTAAGTCCTGTTACCCCAGTCCTGCCATCCTGCTGTCGCACAGGCCTCTAGTTATTCGAAATTACCAGTGTCCTGACTGATTTGCCTGCATTACTGACCAGAATCATGATAGCCCATCACTTATTGGGCTTAGCATCCGAAAATAGGGTTAATATGTAATCGCTGAAAGCTCAATGGAGATCAAACACTCAACCTGGTGCGTCCATCCCTACCGTTTTGCCGCCATCGCAAGCAATCTGCGTGTCTGTTGCAGAAAAAGTTGTAAGATGGACACGCCATTTGTGAACATATGGAACATCCAGTTGCTTATGAAGGAGAGTGCAAGATGGCGGAGCCCAAGCCGCACAGCTGGACGCCGCGCCCTCTCGTCGTTGTCCTGGAATCAGTTTGACTGGTGCATGGCGAAGAGCTTCAGTGCTGAGCGGAGGGTCGGTGGTGAGAGGAACCAGTGGTGGCCAGTGGTGACGAGTGGTGAGAGGTGAGAGGAATTGGTGCCGAGATGAACGAGCGAAACTGGAAAGCATGTCACGCAAACTGAGGCTAACGCTCAGGCCACGTACAGCCGGTGTCCAGACCCAGGGATGCTCTGATGTAGGCGAACGACGTCAGTGTATACAGGGCACAGACGCAGGTCGGGGAGAAGCTTCCTAGACTTCCGGTAGCCATGTGTCGGTTGGGATGCAGTTTCGTTCCCAGATGGGGCCCTAACCCCACCCCCTCCTTATCTCGGGCTCCAGGCGATTAACTTTGAAGCGGAAGTAGGCGATATCCGAGGGGAACTACTTTCTTGTCATGTGTTGGTGGTAGGTTGCGTCATTTACCACCACACGACCCCCCCCCCCCCCCCACCTGGAGGGACTAATTTCTTGGCGTATGTTGGTGGAAGGTTGCGTCATTTAGCACTGCTCGCCCCCCCCCCCCTTTTTCCTCGGAACTTATTTCGCGAAATTTCCTTCGTGTCTTCCGGTTACGAGTGGAGCCCAATCCGCCCGTCCGGGCATGCAGCCGTGACCACAGAAAGCTGGACTCCATGCCAGCGTCGAAGCCAGCGTACGGTGAAGTGGGACGGCGCGCCGTCTCTGCCCGGCCTCGGATGGCCGCCGCCCTGATAGAGTCCTGACAGGGTACAGCGCGCCATGTTAGCTCGAAGAGTGTCCGACATTGGAGACCTGGCGACGTCGTCAAATCGTTCGAGCTCAACGGAGCTGGTCACGGCTGAAGGCCGCTTACGGCGTACAGCGAGGGCCAGCGCCTGGTGTCACTGGGCAGGGCTAAAGGCCGCCCATGGCGTGTAGCGAGGCCCAGCGCCTGGTGCCACTGGGCAGGGGTGAAGGCCACCCATGGCGTGTAGCGTGGGCCAGCACCTGGTGTCACTGGGCAGGACTGAAGGCCACCCATGGCGTGTAGCGAGGGCCAGCGCCTGGTGTCACCGGGCAGGGCTAAAGGCCGCCCATGGCGTGTAGCGAGGGCCAGCGCCTGGTGTCACTGGGCAGGGGTGAAGGCCACCCATGGCGTGTAGCGAGGGCCAGCGCCTAGTGTCACAACCTTCGTTCCGTGAACAGGTACGTTCAGTGTGTTTGCTGCTATGGTGCTTATGAAGCGTGTGTATATGTACGGTGCGTGATAATGTGCAGTTCTACTTGCGTATAGTCGATTGGGTTTTATTTTGTTTTCATCACCCGCCCTCCGGTTCACTCAATGTGGAATTAGATCATCGCAATACGTCGAACGCCAATAGATTGATGTGCGCCGTCCTGCTACAGCTTGTGAGAGGCATTTGCCGCATCGTAAAGACACGCTGGTTGTAGTGAGTGTGCTATTTAGGGTTGGCTTCTACTGGTTATTTTGCCAACCAAATGGGGTTACCAGTTCTGAGCTTATGCCAGCCGGTAGGCTTCAGGGAATTGGCAACCGAGCTAAGCAGCAGATTTAAGGTAACAATGTGTTTCTCTTTTGTTTTTAAGTTATTTTTAACCGTTAAATGAATGCGTTTCTGGGATCAGAACTCACGCTAAGCAGTGCGTATTGTATGAGCTCTGACCACTTTCACCCGATTATGAAATTCCGGATGAAGAGCAGACTTTGATGGCGGAAGTTGATTGTGCCGTAATGACTGCCACGGTCCGTGCTGCCTTCTGACGTCACTCGACCTTTAGCACAGCGGCTGCCACTAGGCAGGAGGCTATTTCCGTCCAGCATAAAGAGTGAGCGCCTGGAACAACTCGAGCCCACCCCGCCACGGGTAGGTGGATCGGAAGGCGGGGGGTCTAACCAGCTTAGCAATTAGGACGACTATCAAGAGCTTTCAGAATGGATAAGCATATTTTGAATGATTTGGTTGCCGCCGTTGATGGCCGCTCAGGAGTTTCCTGAGCCGGCCCGCCTCGGTCAGCTGTTTGACAAATTTCTCCTAGTGCAGGCCTCGGAGGAGTTCAATGAGAGGCGTGTAAATAAATGTGTTTGGATGCGCTTAGGCAAGCTGGATCCTCCTGAGGTAGCGCACTGAATTCCTTTACCCGCCCCTCGACATGCGCTTTGTTTGAGCTTTTCGCAATGGTGTGGAAGCAGCTGTTGCCCCGCTCTGCTGCGCGGCTGTGGGGCATGGACACACTCTATGCCGGGCGTCAGAGGGCGACTCAGACGGATTAGAGTCAAGGGAGTCAAGTCAGAGTCTGGCAAGAGCTGCTCAGATGGATGCAGTGTAGTCAGGAAGGAGCCGCTCAGACGGATGCAGTATGGTCAGGAAGGAGCCGGTCAGACGGATGCAGCATAGTCAGGCAGGAGCCGCTCAGACGGATGCGGTATGGTCAGGAAGGAGCCGCTCAGACGGATGCAGCATGGCCAGGCAGGAGCTGCTAAGACGGATGCGGTATGGTCAGGCAGCAGCTCCTCAGACAACAGCTGTCATCGTTAATACGCCACCACACACAAAAAGAGTACTTACTAAAATAGTGTATTTCAGCTGGCCTCCCGGCTCGCGGTAGCGTGCACTCTTGACGTAACCGATTTCCGTGCGGCTTTGCAAGACCTATTTTTTTCACAAACCTTGGCGGTGCATTCTTTTTACCCTGCCATCCTAGCATCCCAGACCCTAATTGGCGGATTGTCTCGCGGCAAGCTCCACAACAGCTCGTGTCTCTCAAGCCAATTCGAAATTTAATGGTGATTGAGACAATACACTTGGTAAAGGAACAATGGAAGCGAACAAAAGTTAATTGACGTGCATATTGCATACATTTATACGTGTTCATATGCCTGTATTTACAGTTTCCATAACACATAAATACACACATGGATAACCCTACTAAAGTATTAAAGCAACTAAGATTCACTAGATCGACGAACACTGACAATGAACGTTCACAACAATGAATAGAGGTCGAGTACTAGCCTTCAGCCTGGCAAGGCACAAAACGAAACAAAGGTTTCAGTACCTTCCTCTGAGTAAAACAAAAAATGGAACTGTGGCCTCCTGGTCACCAGGGCGTGCTCTTCTTTCAACCGAGTCATCATGGCCACTTTCCTGCACAGATCAATAGTTGATGATGATGCGACAAGCACGTCACTGTGTACCGGACATTGGGCTGGGCGATCTTCGGTCCAATTACTGTCACTGTGTACCGGACATGGCACTGCGGGACCGCCGGTCCAATTACTGTAACTGCGTACCGCAGCTGCCCGGTGCAGATTGGCTCAAACACCCCCCACTGAGCAGTGGATGATCACCGAGCTTTGGCGACGGTGTGGTGCTCTTCAGGGTCAGTGTCACCGGATCTATGCTGACAGCTGTGATCACAGCCGGTGATCTTCGTGGTCAGTGTCACCGGATCTGTGCTGACAGCTGTGATCATAGCCGGTCGGCCGGCCGGTGACCGAGCGCGGCTCACTGGGGACCGCTGTCACGTTGGTATGGGGGTCTGCACCGCACCAAGCGGAGCCGGCCACCTCCTCCCCCCCCCCCCCACCCCCCCCCCCCCCCCCCCCCCCCCCACCCTCGCTCCACCGCCGGAATGTCCGAGCACCTATTGTGCCGGCGGGCGGCGGCAATGCCCGCAATGCAGGCCACCCTGTCCAGCCGGTGGCTCGCCCAACGGGCACGACGAGGAATAAATAACATCGATGTGGGTAGCGCACTCGGCGTCAACAGATGACAGGTGACACTGGGGACGAGTCAAGCTGACGGTCACACCACACCGGGGACGAATTAAACCGAGGATTTCACCCCACTGGGGAGCTGACGGTCGCACCACGCCGGGGACGAATAAAACTGAGGGTTACCCCCTACTGGAGACGAACCAAGCTGACACTCACACCCTGGTGGGGGATAAGTCAAGCTGTCGGTCGCACCACGTCGAGGACGAGTAAAACTGAGGGTTACCCCCCCCCCCCCCCCCTGGGAATGAATCAAGCTGACGGTCACACCGCGGTGGGGATGAGCTAAACTGACGGTCACATACCACCGGAGGGCGAGTTAAGTTGACGGTCACATCCGACTGGGAGCGAGTTAAGCTGATGGTCACACCCGAGTGGGGAACGAGTCAGGCGAACGGCCACATCCCACTAGGGGGCGAGTCAAACTGACGACCACACCCTACTGCGCGGCGATGAGGTCACGATGTCACGTCAGCCCCCACGAGCCACTCCACCGCCATCCGTGGCGAGCGTGCGCCGAGCGTTGGCGCGCGCCACAGGAATGTCTACTGCGGCACGCGTCTCGTGTTCGACGACGAGGCCCGGGCGGCGGGCGCCGTTATGGTCAGGTACTGAGAATGGCGCGCGGCCGGCCGGCGCCGCCTGCTGCGCAGCCTTACGGCCGCTGGCAGGCGCAGGCGCAGCGCGTCACCACCGGGTACCGCACGTGCAGCCACTTGCAGTGCCGGCCGCGCCGCCAGTCTTGGCAGTGCCAGCGCAGCAGGGTCAGGTGGCGACTGCGCGCCGGCTGACACGTCATGCCGGCCGGCACGGAGCAGGAGCGGGCCGTGTCGCACAGGCCCGTGCGCACCCAGCGCGGCCAGAAGCGCACGCCCAGGTCCTTCCACCGGTGGCGCACAGCACAGTGCGTGTACACGTGCAGGTACTTGAGCATCTTGCGCTGCACGCGCCGCGACAGCCGGACCCGCCGCGTGGTGCCGTTGGGAAGCGACAGCCTGTCGAGGCGGAGACGGCGCAGGCTGGCCGGCAGCCGGGAGGTCAGCTTCAGCCGGCCGTTCGGCTTCACCTGCGGCGGGCCGGTCAGCAGGTCACCGCGTGGCGCCGGTCAGCGGGTCACCGCGTGGCGTCGGTCTCACGCGCTGGGGTGGGGCGGCGGTCACAGCGTGGTACAGCCGTTCAAGGTTGAGGCGCGTGCCACAGTTAACCCCTGGCGCCCGGGCAGCGCCTTACAGGTCGGCACATCCTATCACATTTCATACATCACATGCTGCACACACTTCTCACATCTGTTCCAGGTTGTTGCCTTACGAACACATAAGCAGCCCAACTAAAATGTCCCACGGCCATTTCTGACTACACCCGCGCCAAGTACCCTTCCTAGGCCCTCCGATTACTGTGTAGCATAGAGGGGAGCCGGCGAGGCGGCACCTTGAATGGCAGCTTCCAGGTGGTGTGGTTGACGTCGCCGGCGGCAGGCGGCTGCTCGATGCCCATGTACTGCGTGTCCAGGAAGCGTCCGAGCTTCATCATCAGTCTCCCGATGTCCAGGTCGGCTGGCGACGGGTCGTACCTGCCGTGTACGGACAAGGCGCTGCAGAAACGACCTCCAGCCGAGCAGGATGGCACAGAAAGCCGGCCAGTACAGCGCTTTCCGCTACACCGAACGCTAAACTGCATTGTTGTCATTTGTAAAGCGAGCATCATGATATTTGGGAGAGTTCACGCTCGCTACCTTTCCTGTACATGAGAATGTCGTGTTTCTCCGCGCCAATAAAGTCCTACGTTTGTGAACTCGTCAGAATGCAGAAGAAGCACGCAATATCCAGAAAAGGCATCGGTATCAATTCTCCTGACAGATACCAGCGCATTGCATGCTCCAGATGGTGCTTTCAACTTTTTATTTACGGAACAACTGGGAAGCCAGGATCCAACTGCCTCTGCAATGTTTGGCTGATGTCATGGTCTACTGCTGGCAATGCCCAACAAAAATGCGTCCCATCATGCATAGCAATGTACGAAGAAAAGAATTCGTTGTTAAATTCAACCAAAAATCTGTTGTATTTTAATCGTCTGATCAAACCAAATCCAAGTTACAGGTGAATCTGTGATATGTTGATCAGTAATAACCACTATTGGATAAGTAAGCTATATTATTAACATAATTTATTTTACTACCTATATCTATATATTTCAGTACTATTTTCTAACAAGCAATTTAATCCCTGACCCATTCCGACGCAACAACAAACTGACGAAGAAGTAGTTGAGCAGTCACGTGTTACCCACCGCGTGTTTTTGCTCTCGACAAGGTCTACGACGGAGACTGACTTGTGGTCGGGCTTTGGCCTGTACTGATGCTCGCAGCGGGCCAGGGCTGTTTTCACCAGCAGGATGACCACGACTCGCCACTCAAAGGGGGCCATCTGAAAGGGCAGTACATCCCGTCTGTAAGCAGCGGAATCGTGATCACGAGACCAGAGGCATTGCAACTTTGGCGCTGTTTGAATGGTCCTGGCAGAAAAAGGCATAATTGGAAGCTTAATTTTACCGGTAAACATACATCCAAAGATTCACGCATGCATGAATTATTCCAAACAGTAAAGGCCTCGTAAACATCGTTTTTACACAGCGCCAGTGAGACATGTTCACCTGACACGGAAGTTGTGCGGTGATACTGCCTGGCTAATTGTCATTTGTTGTTTCATTATTCATTAAAAGTAAGTATGCCACCTTCGGGAAAATTGTCTGGGTACATCAACAAAAGGGTTTTTCCCTAGGGTTTACTCCAACTTCATCTCAATGTTGGGGGCCTAGAGCCCATGTTCGTGGAGGAGGGGGGGGGGGGGGGGCATCTGGAGCCCCTCCAACTGAATAGGAAACTACATCTCAGGTTCTTTCCACGTTGCTTGTGCTCAGTATCATGTGCAGATACTGAAATTCGTCCCGCCGCGTCAACTTCACTACCAACCAAACGGGGATCTCTTAGGTTGCACGCGTGTACATGTTCAAATTATATATTTTTCTGTCTGAGGATCCTAGAATGTGACGCAGCACATACTTTGGTACACCGGGATTTAATTCTGTGACGAAATCCCATCCCCTGACCAATCAAAGCACGAGAAAGATGTCCGAATTCGCGGCCGGCCTAAGGTGCCATCAAATCCAAAGGCTCTGCACTTGCAGAGATCTGAGGGTTCTTCCTTGTTACTTCTATGGTCTTGGCAACAGTTGCTGTTGGTTCTGGTGGTGACGAATGGTGTCAGTCCGTGGCAGGCCTAGCGTGCGTTACCGATGCTGCTCCCTCGTAATGATTTTGCGATACCCCGGGAAAAGCACCGTATGATGAACAGTACAGCAGGCGAATCAACTCGTCGACGTCGTTCCGCTAGTCTGTCAATATCGAGGCGAATTTTTCATTATCTGTGCGCCCCTCGAACGCTTCCTGAACCCTAACAGAGTGTTGTCCGAGAGCCCCTTCTTCAAGCAGCGTCACGAGCAATAGGTCTTCCCCTACACTATCCATGCTTCAAAACACAGACGGTTTGCAAAGTGATGCAACAGATGAAAGTTCTCCAAGTCTATCCATCCGTAAGTCGCGGCTAAAACAAAGTTAGTGGGCTGGAGACGTCATGATGAGTAGGGGGCTGATTCCTATCCAGTGTGTTAAAGCTAGATTGATTTGATACGTGTCTGAATTAGATACTCCAGTTTTTTAACTTTCAAGTCCGATTAGATATGATATGATTCCGAATCTGGCCCTGATTCATCAATGTGATTGATGTTTGTTTAAAAAAGAGATTGATTAGTGTAACGGATTGTAAGTAATTTCAGTTCCGACAATACAATCCTGATGGCAGTCCTTATTTATCAACGAACGTCTCTTTTAATACATTTTGATGTGTGCTCTCCAGACGTTATGGCTAAAAGGCTATTAGCTTTCTTGTGGTTTATTACCTCTGCAGGCTAAATATGCCACCTTGTGACGAATCGATCATACTTATGGACAGTGTTTTCGCGTATCCCAGTAGCCCGGTCAGTTAGAAAAGCCTTCCTTCCGATTCACCCACCCGTGGCTGGGTGGGTCGCTTTAAGCGCTCACTATCTGGGCTTGACAGGCATGACCCACGGCCGGTGGCAGTGGCTGCGCTAGAGGTCAGATGACGTCAGAGGGCAGGGTGGACCGTGCCGAGTCTTGTGGCACTCATACAACAAGCCCTGCTTGGCATGAACTGTGTTGCCACAAATTTGTCCATTCAGAACTTTCAGATTCTTAGGCAATGACAAACACATTGGTTGCCAACGGGAAAGATGCATAGTTCGCGGTTATCAATGCGAATTTCAAGGCAAAATGCATAGCCCGTAACCAGCCTCATGACTGTCATTTGTTTAAGTCATAATGTGCCGGCCCCGGTGCCACTCTGCAAGTCTCCACCACGGCCGCTGCAGCCGGTGCATATATTGGCCCAATGAATGCACGCTGCGTTTCCGGCGTGCCACGGGCGCATGATATCACGGCGTCGCTCGAGCGCAGCGCGCCACGGCTGCTGACTGCTGACTGCTGACCGTCTGAGAACCACTTCCGGCTGCGACCCACAACACCTGCTGCTGAGGCAGCTGAGTTTGCTTAGGCAGCTCGGGCCGACGGGCGGTCGGCTGGCGCTCAATCCGCCCAGCAGTCCGGCCGCCTGGAGTCCAGACTAAAGGCCAGTCTACCAGGTAATCAGTAACAAGGCTTTGTATGCAATGATAGAGACATGTTTCAAACGGATTTAGGTGTCTGGTATATACTCCTAATTGTGCCCAGCATAAAAAGTGGAGCAAAACACATATTTGTCGCGTGGCAAAAATTCCATTGATTTCATTCATAATTTGACCGCGTGTTGAAACAGATTCCGTATCACTTTTTGCAGCATTGCAATGTTTTGCAGCAGCAGCATTGCGGTGGCATATTGGATCATCCCGAACCTTTTTGCTCAACTAAGCACCTGGCTGAAATGCACGTGCGCTTTCCGCCCTCTGAGATCCATTGTTGTCAACTGGCCAAAGCTGTCGATCTTCATGCATTCACATTATAAGAATCCATTTTTCGCGCATCTTCCGAAAATGAGGAACTTGACCTACAAAATATTTAGGTCATTTTGGTCGACAATTCCACAACTCATTGACCAAGCACACCCACGCAAAATGCGAATAAAATGTCAAATGTATTATAAACTGTTTTGTGCAAATGTAACAGCTACTCCATACTACCAAGTCACAAATGGTAGAAATTGTGCCACGCTTGGGCTGGAACAGTTTTAGTGCTACCGGTCGAGCGTGAAAAAGCAATGCAGCTAAAAGAGTGCCTTGCACGACTCCCTAGAAACTGACTTCTCCGAATCCACGGCTTGACTCTGACCTGTCGCAGGTCAGCGAACCTACAAAGTACATCTAATTTTGCATGAAACGATTCAAAGTGCGGCGAACTAACCAAGTCAGTGTGGGTTACACTTCATCGTTTGTGCCTTCTGCATATGGTCTAGTCAGGTCTGTTGCAAGGGCAGGCAGACGCAAAACCCTGAGCCGGGCCTGTGTCGGGAAGTTTATACTAGATAACTTTGGCTACGCATCTGGGTGCAATGATGTACCATCTGATTCGCTTAGCCATACTAGCTTCCTCCCATCATTGTTTCCAACCACGTTGAATTCATTTGGTGACTATGGCTAGATGCGTTAAGATGTAAAATATTCGGTGAACTGTTGAGGCGGTTGTTTATGGCGGCGGCTACCATGTGCCACCCTCCTCACCTATCAGCAGTAAAGGTCTCGCTCGGATCTCGTAAGGATCTTCTGGGTTGATCTAATCCACGCTCATATATGATCTCGGGTCAGACTTTTCGGAAAGCCCGGTCCCAGCTGACACAGGCGTGGAAGCTGTACCAGCCGACGCCGTGGTGGTGGATGGCTCGGCTGTGGACCTCTGAAAGCTGTACCAGCCCATGCCTTGGTGGTGGATGGCTCGGCTATGGACCGTTGGAATGAACACCTCAAATCTTGGAAGGATTTTCGTTCCTAGTTTTGTCCGTCGTTAACAATGTGTCAGTGCGACTCGCATGCACTGTGATCATTTTATGCAGAGCAGGCTCTATCACAAAGCCTATCGCCTGCAGTGAATAATTTCTAAGTCAGCGCCAGACTTCAACAGAAAGTCTGCAAAATAACTAAACGCCCAATGTACAGTAGTTTCTGCTGCCTAGTTCTGCATGTCTCGGTGTTTTGGCATCAAAACGTGTTCCTATCTTCTCTGGTTTTAGAGCAGTGGCGGATTTTATGCAACACTGCACGGCGAACTTCACTATTTACGCGGCCGGCGGGCGGTAATCAGCGATGCTGCGGAACGCGCGCGGTGGGCCGACATTGTTACAATAACGGGCAATATATCATAAATGCATGCTCAAAAGACGCACAAATACAAACCGTTGTAATCGTAATTGAACGACAAACACGCCTGTCCAGGTTCCACATGGCCACGAAGCATGCTTTCGTGTGTATGATGCTTATAAATGCCGAAGTGATACCGAAAAAGTAATGCTTAATGATGGTGAAAAGGTGCAATTTTTGGAAAATGCGGCATCTGACCCGAAATAATTGTGTCTATCATTAATTTATTAACACGAGAACTAGTACCCATCGCGCCTGGGCCTGGAATACGTAGGCCTCGTTGAAAGTCTGCTGAGAAATTGGCGCGTGCAACAAAACACCAGCGGGAGTCAGAACACACCACCCATCCAAACATTACAGGCGTTCTGTAAAGGAGACCGGAGGCTAAATATTTGTACGATACCATAATGAACATTAGAAATGGTAGAGATACAGACATACTAGAAATACATGGGAAATTGAGTGGGCGGAGAATTTGTCGGCACCACTTTGGTTAACGTTTATATTCCCACGTAAAGTTACACCGTCTGTGCACCTTTCCCTTGCACATTAGTGATAATCACGCAAATGGCCGCCACAAGCATTGCTCCACCCCAGGCAGGAGTCACAAAAACAGAAATGTACGGGAGCTGAAACAGATATCGGAAAACAACAGCGCATGAACGCCGTAAGCATCACCATGTTCACGACCATTGGGATACTGTGACTGGTTGGCTAAATTCATTGATGGGAATTGATGGGTTTGTGACTGGAAAACGAGGCGATAGTGGTTGTTTGTGATCACAGCAATTGCTCACGTACTTGACACGTGTATGCTTATCATCGATCGAAGAGATCACTTAGGCATCAAATACCTCAAAAATAGGTGCATCGTTAAAAAAGAAATCGATATGTTATGCAGTAGAAGGACTATACGGAAAAGTACAACGCAGAGTGAAATGCAATGAACTGACATGGCAAGAGTGTGACGCTGTATGTTCAGATTTGCTAGTGCACAATAAAT